AAAATTGCCTCTTTAACAGTCAAAATTAACCATATAGTGAACTACAGAGCCTTTGATTTCATCAGACTGTTTATATTATATGAAGCAGTTTTTCTGCTGTAATCTAGTCTTCTTTTTAAATAAATTCATAAACTTTAAAGAATGAGAGTGGTACACCTTAAAATTTAGAACTGTTCCTTCCCTCTCCCTCTCCAGGTTTCTGACTAACCTACTAAGAAGGCAAAATGGAGATTAGTTTTAAGTAATTGTTGGATACTGGAGTTTTACTTTAGGCTTAGCCTTGAAGCAAAGCACTGTCTTTATGGAGATCTTTTTATAGTTGCTTATTAATGTGCTCAAAATACTTGCTTGTAGTGAAGCTGCTTGGTGATTGAAGGGGTTGTTCTAGGAAAGCTTTCTTGGCTGTCAAGCCTATTTATCAAAGGCACTCTATTAAAAGCTTAAAAAACTTCCATGTGCTTCTTGTTTACCTGCATGATTCAACAAGGCTTTTCTGGAGCTTCACACAGGACATGCTCAGAGATTGGATTTGGGTCCTGTGTTAACAAAGTAGTTCTGGAAGAGTGGTAGGGACAAGGAGCTCAGTCTGGGGGCACAGTCAGGTCACTAGGAACGTACGGCTGGGATGACAGCTGCCCACAGCCACCTTCTTACAGCTACAGCCCTTTTTTGTGTCTTCCTTCTGGTCTTTTTAATTTCTCTCTGGGATAGGCACCATGAGTAATTATTTTGCATTGGTAAATACCTGTTTGAAAGGAAAGCAGGATGACTTTAAGTTGGGGCAGCCATGGCTCAGAGTGAAATCTCAGAGCAGGGAGGTGATGGAAGCAGCCTTTATATACTTTCCCCAGCAGCAATAATAATGTCTGGTATGTACCAGGTGCTGCTGCTCCCTTTCCATTTATGTACGTGAGTGCAAACAGACGTACGTGCTAGATTCCCACGTATGAAACACGTGCTGTAACGCAGGCGCTCCCAGTGCTGCGTGCACCTGCTGTGTGCCTGGGTTACCGGTGCTGCTGTCAGCCCTGAGCAGGGCACGCTGGAAGCTGTAGTTCCTCTGGGCTGCATGAAGGGGAGGGCTCTTGCACTTCATTGCATCATGCAAATAGGATGCTGTCAGCTTGTGCTGACATGTCCTCCTTGGAGAAGGAGAGTATAAATACCAGCAGAGTGTGTAAGACAGTGCTTAGATGTTAAACTGTTGGATAAGCCTAGTATTTTTCTCTGCTTCATAGCCTTGTGAGAAAGAATAAAGCTTTAGTCAAAGGGAGCTACATATGGCAGTTCTCCTTTGAACATCTGTCTCTGATGTTTCTGCTTAGAAGGTGGAGACAAAAGCATATAAATAAAAGTGATAGTATGAAAATGGATGTTCTGGGAAGAGGGAGACAAAGCAAAAAGCCATGTGGCCAAGATGCTTGTTTTTACCTGTGAACAGCCTACGTGTAAGGCTAAAGCAGTGAGGTATCAGTTTACTTAAAGGATTACTTGGTTGAGGGGAAATCGGTCATCCGTGGGTTCCTGTCCTAGACAAAAGGTTCTTTCTGTCTAGTTGTTACTCAGTGGAAAACTGGACAGCATCTTCCTTGAGCTAAGCATGCGCCCAGATACTGGCACTGAACAAGGAGCAGTGCTGGCGTCGCAACCTCCAGGACCTGGGAAGTTGACTGATTTTGGTGGAATGAAGTTTAAAGAGTTTCCGTCCTGTTCAATTCAGCTGATGGCAGCTAACCTGAGGGTACCAAGGCATTTTTATAAATAAAATGTTTGCTGTAATTCTATGCCCATCTTGACTCTTATCAAGAATGATTCTAAAGGTGATCACTGTCCTTAGCCTTAGCAGATGTCAGAAAATCACCAGAGGCCCTCCTGCAAAAATGAGGAGATGGTCGTCATCAGATGACAGCCCTTAGACATGTCAGGAGCTGAGTCCCAGGGTCCCAGTTTCCCCCTGAAATTACAGGTTCCTGACAGGAAATTTGGCCTGATACTTTCTGCTTTACTTTAGGCTCTGGTGAGTTAACTGTTGCTGACATTTGGCGTTTGAGAGGTGAATCTCCAAGTGTTTCATGAATGTTACAGATAGTTTGAGATCTTGCAGGAAGAATCCCAATTCTGCTGCAGCAGGGCAGAACCATGAAACTCTCATTCTTTGAACCCTGAATCTAAGACATGGCTCTGGTGGCTGTTTCTCTCATCTCTAGAGATCTTTGAGTATATAGTCATTAGAATTAATTTCTGTACTGCACCGAGAACCATGCTGATGATCTGCTTTGTTTCCTTTCCTAACAGCCCAGTGAGCTGGGCCAAAATGTTCCCAAATGTTTTGCAGCAGTCAATACCAGAATTATTTTTCAGCCCCATAATGCAAATGTAGGTGCTTTATTTGACAGCTCTCCTTCAACATCAGGATATACACTTCCTTGCAACCTTTCTCCAGGGGTTGCATAGAAATACCCTCTCACTTCTTTTCTCATTAAAAGCTAATTTGATTTCTCATGGTATTTAAATGTCATCATTCTCTTCACTGAGAAAAAGATGTACTTTTAATGCAGTATTTTATTGCCCATATCAGACATGTTCTGTTGTAGATCTTGGGTTTCTCAACCCTGACAGTGCTTTACTTAGTTAAGTCAAAAGAGTAGTAACAGGTCTCACCTATTTTCTTTTTGTAGTGGGAAATGTCTATACTAAAAGCTTATTTTTTTTAAGTTAGAGTGCTGCATAATTAAACATCTAGCACTTCAAGTGCTGACTTCTTTTTGCATCCCCCCACAGTGGAAGAGATCTGTAATCTCTGTCTAGTGGAGGTAAGGGCAGGGAAAGAAAATCTTGGGTCCTCTCAACCCTGACAATGCTTTACTTAGTTAAGTCAAAAGAGTAGTAACAGGTCTCACCTGTTTTCTTTTTGTAGTGGGAAATGTCTATACTAAAAGCTTATTTTTTTTAAGTTAGAGTGCTGCATAATTAAACATCTAGCACTTCAAGTGCTGACTTCTTTTTGCATCCCCCCCACAGTGGAAGAGATCTGTAATCTCTGTCTAGTGGAGGTAAGGGCAGGGAAAGAAAGTATAGTTACTTTTGATGAGGAGGTTAAAGTATCCGTAGGATAATTCCATAATGCATCTAATATTGAATTGCTGCGTGTTAGTTCTGAAGTTGTAACTTGTAATGAGAACAGTACAGTGCTAAGAGATGCCGTATGAATGTAGCCTGGAAGTTTCAACCATATTAGGTGGTCAGCTTTCTTCTTATCAAATCATTCAGAAAGCAGCACTCTTCTCTATAAAGTACTCTATAAATTGCAGTATCCTTGTCTAGCAACCCTTCTTGGAGGATGCTTCTAAAGCACTACTTAAAATGGGCATTTACTGCTATTAAGCGAGATATTTTAAATAGAAGTTCTGGATGTATGTAGTCATTAAAGACTATATGATATTTTCTGTGTGAACAGGGCCATTAGCACCTTTGTCTTGCTAAGCTTTATAGCATATAAACAGCATACCTTGCTTCACATTCAGCCTTTGCTTAAAGATTGAACACTGAGTAACGTGCAGGGCAGCTGCTTGTGCTCACTGACCTTAGACCACCAATGTTTCTGTGACCAGCAGCACGTTCTGTAAATATGTGATGTAAATACGTGCTGTTTGGCAGGCTGCTTCAGGCTGATTAGCTGTCTCAAAACAAAAACAGCAACAGGAATTAAGAGTGAATTAATACTTTGAAGGCTTACAAGCAAAAAGTACAATTAATGCTGCTAATTAAGGCATTCCTCCCTCCAGTCTCTATACGATTATTAACTTACATGTGAATAAACTGAGAGACGGAAAAATGTGATTTATCCCAGGCCATGTGACGTGGTGGCAGAAATCTGATCGAACCCTTGGGCTGCCTCACTTCAGGCGCTGTGCAAGTTCATTGTACAGCGAGAAACAATCGTATTTTGAACAACAAGGCAGCGTGAATGTGGGAGCTAAGAATTTGTTGTCAGAGCTTTCCAGAGAAGTGCACAGAGAGTTTTGGTCTATCCCCTGGCAAAAAATACATCTTTTCAGTTGGTTGCAGATAAAGTTATAGCTGTGTATGTTTACTGCAAGTACTGTTTGTTGGAAGAAGCAGTGTAGCCCGTTCCAGCAGTGGCTTATTATGTAGATTTCAGTAGCTGCTGAAATACCGCTGGAATACTGGTTTTAGAACTTCAGACTCAAGAAAAGAGTTTGACTTGGTTTTGACCAGTGCTGACAACTGAAGAGATACTATTTCTGAAGCAGAGACTGCCATGGCTGATGGATATCTTGGCATAGAAACTAGTCAGTGTGGTGTTGGGGTGTTTGTGGGGTTTTTGGTTGGTTGGTTGTTGTTTGATTTATTTTGGTTTTAATTTAGCTAGCAAAATTGGAGAACTTGTACCCAGTTTTAATTGTGAGGCCCCTTTGTTGTTTCTTTTCTAGTATCTTTTACACTGGTCAGATAAACTATTCATGGACTTTTATACCTCACACCCACCCCCCAGTGTTTTAGCATGTTAGGATTTTGACAGGCAAAGGCCTTTGGTGCTTGTCATTTCTTTTGAGGTAACCTCTAATGGCAAAATATTTTGAAATATTGAAATCCAAACAGAAAACTGAAGGAAGACTTCATTCCCATGTCTGTGCTGTATTTCAGATTGCCATATGCAATGGACACTGATCTCAGTTCCCAGGACAGGAAGGACCTCGACAAGTTCATAAAATTTTTTGCTCTAAAGGTAACTTTTTCTCCTGTGGGTAATTACCTCTTCTTTCTTGTTTAAAACAAGCTATAATTGCTGTGGTTAAAGTAACAAGGTTGGAGTTTGGGTTTTTTTTGGTTTTGCTAAGGAGCAAAGCAAGAAAAGCTGATGTCAAATTTAGGAGATGACTGAGAATAACTAGAAGAACTTTTCCCCTTTTTTCTACCTTCAGATCATCTACCTTCCCCTAGAAGTGTCTTGCTATAGAACCAGCTATAGACACTTGACGTCTCTGTCAGCATTGGGCTCCTACCAACACATCTAACTGTCCTGTCTTCTGTTGAGCTCCACTCTTTTCAGCCTGTCTAAATATTTATATTGCATCCAAAAGAAATTTTTGAATTATGTTGGTACATAATTATAAAATTTGGCCTCACTTGATACATAGGTGCAAGAAGATGCTTTGACGATGGGTATGTTATAAGTGTACAGATTCACTCGATTTTTGTTTAGAAGTCCAGGTTCATGATATAGTTGTAGACTTTGTTTCAGTATTACCAAAAACTCTGCAAATCCTGATCACAGAATTGACTTAGTCACTTCATGTTAACTACAGAGAAAGGTCAGCTTAAAATTATTTTCTCTCTGGAATATATCTACCTGTTATGTGTAATAATTTAAATTGATTAGACCTGAAGATTAATGTAGCAAACTACTTCTCTACATCCTGGTCAGACCTTTCATTTTTTTTACTTGGAATTTGTCTAGCTCTGGTTCTGAAATGAGGGCTCTCCTGAGATCAAAACATGAGTGTGTATCTTCTTTCTATTCCAGACAGTACAAGTAATTGTCCAGGCCCGACTTGGAGAGAAAATCTGTACCCGCTCATCATCCTCCCCAACAGGCTCTGACTGGGTAAAGTCATGTTTTTTAAAGCAACTCTTGTTGGGGTTTGTGTGTGTGCATGCATGCACATGATTGTGTTGAGAACACAATGTAGTTGTAGTCTTGTGCAGACTACAATAACTATTCATAGAAAAACTACTGTATTCAGCTATGTTCATTGGTGGTGTGGGGTATTTTTGTGGTTATTCACATGCAACACATCACTTTGGGCTCTTCAGGGCTGATTAGAGGAGAGACAAATGATACCTGTTGGCAACTCCTGGCAGCTAAGGCGCATTTCCAAGATCTGCTGGAGGTGGGGTGATGAGCCCTTTTCTGGCAGAAGTTTGCAACTCTGCATTTCAAGACTTTGTAGTAATGGGCTATATTAAAATTGAAAAGACTCGAGATACTCTGTGGGTGAAGACAGGATGCAAGCGAGGGAAAAGGAGTGTGATTTTTATGTCAAGATCAAGAAAAATATTTGCCTTAGTTGCAAAGGAAATGTTTGCAAATATGAAAAGCCTGAGCCCATCTGGGAATTTTCTGTTTCATAAATATTTCAGTAGACACTGACCTAGTATGTTACATGGGCCTATGAGTCTCTCTGCAGTGTACCATTAGGCAGTTTTTCAGAGAAATTTTAAAATATTGAATCATCTCTTTCATCCTGCAGTTCAATTTGGCAATCAAAGATATACCGGAGGTTACTCATGAAGCCAAAAAAGCGCTGGCAGGACAGCTACCAGCTGTCGGACGGTCCATGTGTGTGGAGATTTCTCTCAAAACCTCAGAGGTGAGAATTGAGTGAAAGAAGATGCCTTTTTTTTTTCCTTACTTGAATCTTAATTATCAGTGCTCCTGCCCTTTAGTCCAAGACAATGTAAAAATATCTTCATTTATGTAGTTAGGTAGTATGCTAATGAAAAGGAGTGTGTTGTTTAACAGGAGCAATTCACTGCAAATATCTGAGGCCAAACACACAAATGATAGAGCAGCAAAATTTAGTTTCTTAGACCATGGAGAGTTTAGTCATTCTGAGGAAGGTATTCCCTCAGGTGATATAATTGTACAGTGAGACTTCCAGAGCACCTTTTTCTGTCGTTGCATAAAAAGATGGGAGCCAGGAGAAACATCTTAATTCAGAAGTGTGGCTGTTGCTGATCATTAATGAGATGTGAAAAGGTTTATATGCTGAAATGAGACTTTGTTTGCCATCCTTTCTCTGATCCAGGGGGACTCCATGGAGCTGGAAATTTGGTGTCTAGAAATGAATGAAAAGTAAGTGCATTCTTCACACTTTCTGTGTGTGTTGGTTTGTTTTAGCTGATGAAACAGGAAGTGGGCTCAGTCCATGGTGATCAGTGACCACATATTGGCTGTGTGGCCTGAGCCATTTCAGAGGGAAGTCCCCTCTTTGTCTAGTGCAGCAGTCAAGCTTTTTAATATTGCTGTCAAGAAAATAACTAGTAATTTTATTCCTTCTTCGTTTTTCCATTACAACTAGTATGCCTCAAGTACAAGAATTCATACATTCAGTAATGACGAGTGTTTTTAATACTGAAAAGATGTTTCTGTCTAGTAGAAAGCTGCATGGAATTTTTTCAGCAATTGCTTCTACAACAGGTGACTAGATTGAAGAAGCTGGTTGGTCAATAACAGGTAGCCACACCTGGGCTTTGTTTTATCATTTTGGCAGTAAAACTGACTTTAACCAATTGCTGCAGACTAATTTTGGGTTTTAAAATGTTTATAAAAATTTTAACAACCCAAACAAACAAACCCCACAAAATAACAAAAAACAAATAAAACCAAACAACTTAGTTGGTAACAGAAGACTGTTTTTTTCCTTTGTGTTCTGTAGGTGTGACAAAGAAATCAAAGTTTCATACACCGTATACAACAGGCTGTCGCTGCTGCTGAAGTCTTTGCTTGCTATAACCAGGGTAACTCCAGCCTACAGACTCTCAAGGAAACAAGGCCATGAATATGTAATATTGTACAGGTAAAGCAAAATATGAAAATCCCCATTTGAAATACAAATAGCAGAGACTCTAGATATGCACAGTGCAGCTGCAAATGTGGTAAAAAAGGATGAGTGATAAAAAATTAAAATTATTCCGATTTAACTACTACTGATCAGTGACAGGAGAGCACTTTGGGCTATATGACACCTTATAGCCTCCATCTGAGCCATTGAAAGAAAAAATAAGGTCAGGCTGTGAAGTATTATTTGCCTACAATGTTGAGAAGAGTACAAAAATTCTACATGCAAGCACTGGGTAAATTGCTTATTAGCATCCTGTTGTTCAGTGTCTGCCCCTTATTTGACAGATGCCTGTCTACGTTGCACGTAATTGCAATGCATACTTTTCCAGTGTAAATTAAGACTCTCCTGCTGTTCCATTTTAAAGATGCATCCTTGGCTCCACTTCTGTAGTTCTTGCAATTTTCTCATCCAGATACTGAGTTCAACTCTGTTTAGCCAGTGAGATCTGACTGGCTTGTGGTTCGTGATTGTCACCTTCCAGTCTTTGTTTCTGGCTCTGAGAAAATTCTTTGGCATGTTTGCATAGCTAATTTAGATAATTCTAATCAGGTTTGTTATTTGTACAGCTGAGAACTTAAGAAGAAATCCCAGTGCTTGCTTAATTTTTGCTTCCATTGCTGGTTTGGCGTATACTTAAGAGCAGGTCTCTTTACAGCACAGTTAATCTTTTATGTTGTGTGACGAGTATCAGCTTTTAGACTCGGACCTGTCTGTGAAGTTTATATCACTTCACGTATTTGCTCTCAACTGTAGACTTCTCACAGAGGCTTAAAAACTTTAAAGAGAAATTTCTTATTAGACTACTATTTTATCTTCCTTTTTCTTTTTATGTGACACATCTTTCTCTGGAGTTACTGGAAGGTTTTTTGAGATGGGCATTCTAGCTGCCACTTCCCCCCCCCTCACCCCCTAAAGAGGAAAAGTAGTTCCAGTCTTTCAACTCATAAAATTAAATAAGGAATAATGATATATATATATATAGCATTACGTCCCCAGTGGACCTAATACATTTTCTTTTTCCTTTTCCTGCAGGATATATTTTGGTGAAGTGCAGCTGGGTGGCTTGGGAGAAGGTATGATTAGGCAACACACACAGACTAGAGCAGAACTGTTTTCTATGCTGGCTAGCCACTTATTATTCTTCTTAAGTGCCATAAGGATAATTAAGTCTGAGGTTTACATATACTTTTTATCTGGATTTACCAGTGAAGGGTCATATCATAAGGTGACAGGTATAATGATAGTAGTTTGACAAAATCTAGGGTGATTGCCATTTTAACTCTAGTGATCCAGAACTGAAATAAGAGTATGGAAGTATGACATAAAGGACAGGACTAGTAAAGGAGATTTGATCTACTCGGGAACAAGAAGCACTTCAGAGCAATATTTTGGACCAAGGTAGGAAGCAACATCACAAGTCCTGTAGATTAAGCCTACCAGCAAGACAACCTAGTGCTGCTGGGGTTATGGGTTCTATATGTGTCTTTGGAGTTCAGATTCCAAGGAATATTGGAAACAATATACAAATAAGAAAATGTAACCTCAGAATAGAAAAGTATGGAACATAAATAATCAGTGAAACTGATAATCATTCCTTAACCTTCCAGGTTTCCAGACAGTCCGTGTTGGGACAGTGGGTACCCCAGTGGGCACCATCACTTTGTCTTGTGCCTACAGGATCAACCTTGCTTTCATGTCAACCAGGTGAGAAAATGTGATCACACCAGAAGCTGTTTTACAGTAATGTATTATTAACCTCCCATGTTATGAGCCCCTAAATCTTTCCCTTTTGCTTATCCTTTCCTGCTG